AGAAGAAAGTTAACTTGAGACTTGGGGAACATGGTTAAATCACACAACTGCAGCACTTGAAAAAGCAGTATATTAAATCTCTAAATACAATAAAAATGTTTACTTAAATTCACAAACATGTATTACCTTTAATATAAACCAAAGTAAACCAGTTGATGTGAAATCTATGCAAATTCATGGTAGCAACCCTATGAGTTACTAAAAAAATGTATTTTTTTGGCTATAATCTTCAAAGAAGCAAAACACTGAGCCTGCCTTTATGACACCACTGTTGTAGTTGTTGTTGTTAAGTGCCGTGGAGTCGATTCCGACTCATAGCGACCCTGCATAGGGTTTCCGAGGCTGTAAATCTTTACGGGAGCAGAACGCCTCATCTTTCTCCCGCAGAACCGCTGGTAGTTTCGAACTGCTGACCTTGCGGTTCACAGCCCGATTTGTAACCACTACGCTACCAGAGCTCCACTAGGTAGGTTTAAACCAACAACCTTTGGGTTAGCCATCAGTGCATTATTAATCTAAGACCCCCCTTATAAGTGCTAAAATATTCTAGAATAATGAGTTATAATAGTAAGATTTAGTGAGATTTGCATTTAGTGGAATAAATCATAATTTTTAAAACAAAAATAAGTCTCTTAATATATTTATGTATTCAAAAGTCACCTTCCTGGGCATTAAAATGTATATTTGATAGAAACAAACTATCACCTTTATCCCCAGGCATCAGCTGCTTACTAGCCTGTGCTCAAAGCTGTATTCTACCATGCAATGATGGCTGTTTTGAAGGAACTCTAAGCTCCATCCATCCGAGTAACTAGTGGGATCATGATATTTACAGTCCATGCTCACAACCAAGGATGGCTCTCCCTGTAAGGAATATAGTGGACAGCCCTGGAAGTGACTTTGAACTCAGGTCACCCCTGAGGTGTGAACATCTGGACAATGATTCTGTTTAGGGAAAGAACCAGAACCCCCGTGAGGCTCATATAAAAGCCCCAGATACCACCAGGGCACGTCAAAGTCGACCTCCCTCCACTTCTCCTAAATAGCTCCACTGCACATGGACTCCCTGCACACTGGCAGGCACCCTGACCTGGACCCAAGCCCAAGTATGATGGACACGTCAGCAAAACAGGACCATAAGTTATGGGCTGTTTGTGCCTGCGCAGCATGTATGGAGCGCCTGGACTAAGCTTCCGCCCATGTTGAGTAGACAGAGTCCTGGTACGCCTGTGCAATATGCCTCCACTGCACCTGCACAAAGCAGCACTGAGTCAGAGTATCTTTGTTTCCCTCTCTTCATGTGAAGGTTGAAGGAAACCTTGGATTGTCTCCTAAAAGAACCAGGCTCTCTGATCCATGCATCCTGTGACCAACTTAAAATAAAAGGAGGGACCCTCAGGAAAATCCCACCCAAGTCAATACCAAGGACCAAGGGTCCTTAACCAGTCATCCTATGCCCACCACAGTATTCTGCTGAGATCCCCCTCCTGGAACACCGCAAGGCTTTGCTTAAGCAGGAGGGCTTCTCATACTTCTGAGACTTCCTGAAGAGCCTCAGACTATAGGGATATAAGAATAACTGACTGTTATGACTAATGCGACTGTCTCAATTGTAAAGGTAGAAGTTTTGTATCAAAAACAGGGGAGTGGTTAATCTTATAGTCCAGAAACAGAGGACCCTAGGACCATCAAGGGAGAAGAGCACAAACAGAATGTAGAACCTTATCCAGAGAAGCAGCTACACCAGAGACAGAAGCAGAGATGGGGTCATGGAGACAGGGAGTGGCTGAGGACTTTAGATTCATGGGAAGAAAGGGACTGGCCAGGAGGCAGACTTGCAGAATATGCCCTTTGGAGGTGTAAATTATTATATATGCCTGAATGTTTGTTTGTTTTTTGTTTTTTTTAATAAGCTAAAGTGAATAAAGAGAAATACAGTTAACTGATGGTACATGGAAGGGATTATAATCATTGTAATGAAACAAAGGTACATGATTTTTTGAACATGAAACTGATGATCTGCCCTGCCCTGTAAACTTTCACTCAATTCACAATAAAAACCTTTAAAAAAAAAAGAACTGACTGGATAGGTATGCTCCCAGGCCTTTGGGTTTGACCAAAGAAACTTCAAAAATAATGTAGGGAAGGTTACTGTACTGGTTTAAATAGTATCCCCCAAAAATTCTAGCCCACCTGGAAGCTCAGAATGTGACCTTATTGGAAATAGGGTCTTTCAAAACTAATAAGGTAAATAAAGATAATACTGGCTTAAGATGTGTCCTTAAACCAATAAATCCCTGGAGTGGTACATGTTTAAAAAGTTCAGCTACTACCCAAACGTAAAGGTTTGAGTACACAGAGGCCAAACACTCTACTTACAGAACATCAATCACAGAAAAGACTATGGAGTACAGCTCTATTCTGACACACCACACTGAGGGTCATCACAAGCAGATGAAATCAACAGCAGAGGAAATGGCCATATGAGGACAGAGACATAGAGGATTGCAAGGTGTCACCAGAAACTGAAAGCAAGAAAGGGTTATCCTACACAGACTTCAGAGGGAGTACAGGCTTGACACATTTATTTTGGACTGCTGACTTCTACAGCTGTGAAAGAATAAACTTGTGTTGTGTTATGCCACCCAGTTTGTGGTACTTTTCTGGCAGCCCTGGGAAACACAGAACACGGCAAGACCCCAAACTTGAGGGTACTATGAATCAAAAACTCTTTCTAGGGATTCTTCCTGGTGAGTTTTTCTACCTTCTTCCTCCTGTGAGAAGGCAGCCTCTGACAGTTTGTGAAGGAGATGAATTTATCCTACATCCTTAATGCTGCTCTTCACTGAACCTCACTAAAACACAGGCAGTAGTTAGAGTAGATCTGTATTACTCCTCCCTGGTTAGGACAACAGTTACAGGGGATTACGGTGCCAGGATCTTTATATGATGGGGCTTCAAAACATTCATGAAAAAAACTCCATTATCTTTTAATTCCATTTTTCCATGAGCATTCTGAAACACCCCCATATGTTATTCTTTCTAATGTGGCCAAAAGTCTTCATAAAAATGGTGCTATCAACAAAGAAGGTGTCCTGGTATGGCACCATAGGATGAGCACTTGACCTGCAAGGTCGGTGGTTCAAGCTCACCAGCCACTTCTCAGAAACCCTATACAGAGTTGCTATGAGTCCGAACTGACTCAGTGGCACTTAACAACACCAATAATCAACAAAGTATGTTTAAAAAGGGATCAGCTCTTCAAGTCATTTTAAGGAATGACATTGCTAAACCCTAAAATAATCACTAAAGTTTCTGAATGGGGAGACAGGCTTAAGAGAGAATTTCTATGCCACAGGATAGTGGTAAAAGAGGCCCTAGAATAGAGCTCGGCATATAGCAGGTACTCAGCACTAAAACATAAAAAAGAAGATGCTCGGTGCTGTGTTACACACATTCCAACCACCACCCCCACTTATAGGCACCCATCTATTGTTCTCATCAGAGAAAAGGAGGGAGAAGGTAACTTCCCAAGGTAATGCTAGGATATATGGACTCAATCCTTAAAGTCTGAGTCGGACAGTCCCTTACTCCCACTGTGGACAGCTCCTGATGTCTCACCCTGCCCCATCCAATTTGCCACCAAATCCTTATTCATGCTCCAGTAGGCAGCAGGGCAGAACCAAACAAATCACAAAGCAAAGATCACAGCACCACCCCCACACTCACCACCTGGATGGCTTAAACTAAACTAAGTCACACTTCACCTCTAGGAAGGTAAGGAAGCTTACAGGACGCTATTCATCTCTCACAGTAGCCTTAACAACTGGAGGCGAGATAATGCACAGTGCTTGTCAAGCACTCTCTTCCTGGAAACAGGAGGCATAACACAGCAAGGGGATTTTCTTCACATCTGTCTCCCCACACTACCAGCACAGCAGGCCCAGCGGCCTGGAAACCAGGTACACGGTGCTGTGTCAGGCACCTAGTGGAGAGGTGCTACATCTGCAGGAGATGAATGGAAATGAGTCGGTTTGCCAATGGGACCAGTGGGAACTCCCAGTTTGAGACACGCCGAAACTCGTGGCCGGAAGACTGCAACCCAGTGGAAATGTGGCCAAGAGTTGCCAGGTTATTTCTCTCTCTACCCTTCCCACAAAATTCTGCAAAACTAGATTTAATGGTAATGTTTCTCAGTTTTTAAACTCTAGTAACTAATCTGAAGAAATCTTAATAGAGTTCAGAACAGCCAAGCCTTTTCGGCGGACCGAATCCCTCAGGCTGCCAGATAAGAGACCCCAGTGTTTAGGCCAGCTCATCAAAGGACTACTCCACACCGGCCTCAGGAAGGCCAGACAACCACTTACGAAGGAGGAAAAGGAGGGGAGGAGGATCCTGAGGACATTGCACCCAAACACGAAGCTAAGCACCAGCAGCCACGCCCAGCGATCGGCCTCAGCGGCGCTCATCCCGGACGCTCGTGGGAGCGCCTGCACAGCTACAACAGCGCCATGGGGACCACGCTGCCGGCCGCGCACGCGCCTGCGCAAAAAGGTCTGGTGGAGCCACAGCGGCGCGCCTGCGCACTGAGCTGCTGCACTCACAGGGAGGTGGTGATTATGTGTCTTGGAGTCTGTTTCAGACTCAGAGCTACCCTGCACAGGGTTTCCAAGGCTGTAAATCTTTACGGGAGCAGACCACCTCATCTTTCTCCCCTGGAACAGCTAGTAGTTTCCTACTGTTGACCTTGCGGTTCATAGCCCGATTCATAACCGCCACGCTACCAGAGCTCTGTACTGGGAAGTGGAGGACGTTTTTCTAGCCCAGATGGAACGGTTAATGTATTCCAGCCTTCTTCTTGGGCCTCAGGCTTTCCGTAGGTCTCTTCCCAAATTTTTGTGATTCCATCACCACTGTGTTTCATGCTTGACTGTATCTGTAAACTGCTTGTGTTATTGTTAATTTTTTAAATTGACAAACTAAGCTTCCATTTACATTTCAAAACTAAACTGTGATACATCGATATGATTTACAAAACCGCACACCTGTGATAAAATTAAATAATCTCTCTAGAAACCTGTACCACGCTCCAAGGCTTCTGGACATCTTTTACCTCTATAAACCAATCTCAAATCTCAAGAATGCCTCATCAAGTTTTTATATTTTTCCCAAGACATGTATCTCTAAAACATAGGGTCACTAGGAGTTGGAAGTGGCAGTGGATTTTATTTGGGTTGTAGTTTATAGGGAGTCCTGGTGTGGCACTGTAGGACAAGCAAAGTCCTGCTAACCACAAGGTCAGCGCTTCAGACCCACCGGATGCTCATTGGAAACCCTATACAGGGTCGCTATGATTCAGAACCAACTCTGCGGCAAATAACAACATCGTTTAAAGAGATGTGGCGCTATGGGTTAATGTGCGAGACTGCAAAGCTGTTTGAACTGCAAGGTCGGCAGTTGAAGCTCACCAGCTGCTCCTTGGAAACCCTATATAGGGTCGCAATGAGTCGGAATCGACTTGACGGCACTTAACAACAACAACATATTAAGCCTAAGAGCTCTGGTAGCGTAGTGGTTACAAATCGGACTGCGAAAGGCAAGGTCAGCAGTTCACAACTACCAGCAGTTCCGCCGGAGAAAAATGAGGCATCCTGCTCCCATAAAGATTTACAGCCTCGGAAACCCTGTACAGGGTCGCTATGAGTCTGAACGGACTCCACGGCACATAGCCACCACCACCACATTAAGCCTGGAGTCCTGATGTGGGTTAATGCGCCGGACCGCAAAATCATTTGAACTGCAAGATCGCGGGTTCAAGCTTATCAGTTGCTCCTTGAAAATCCTATACAGGGTCGCTATGGGTCAGAACTAACTCAACAGCAATTAGAAACAACAACAACATATTAAGCTTTAGGCAGGAGAAAAAAAATGAGGCTTTCTGCTCCTGCCAAGATTTAAAGCCTCGGAAATCTATACAGGGTCACTAAAAATCAGAAACGATTTGATGAAACTTAATAACAATATTAAGCTTTAAGCAAGACAAAGACAAAACAAACGTAATAACGGAAAACAGGGAAACAGCATGCACACAGGACAGAGACAAAAGGAATCTGCCAATTCACAGCCAAGGTGGTGGTGGTGGTGGTGATGTGCTGTGCAGTCGCTTGCGACTCATAGCGACCCTGTACAGGGTTTCCGGGACTGTAAATCTTTACAGGAGCAGAAAGCCTCATCATTCTCCTGCGGAACAGCTGGTAGTTTCAACTGCTGACCTCGCGCTACCAGAGTCCTTTTGTATTGTTGTTGTTATGTGCAATGGAGTTGGTTCCCACTCATAGCGACCTTGTACAGGATTTCTGAGACTTTAAATCGGAACATGGAATGTATGAAGTATGAATCTGGGAAAATTGGAAGTTGGCAAAAATGAAATGGAACGCATAAACATCGATATCTTAAGCATTAGTGAGCTGAAATGGACCGGTATTTGCCATTTTGAATCTGACAGCCACATGGTTTACTATACCGGGAATGACAAGTTAAAAAGGAATGGTGTTCCATTCATTGTCAAAAGAATATATCCAGATCAGTCATGAGGTACAATGCTGTATGTGATAGGATAGTATCCATGCGCCTACAGGGAAGCCCAGTTAATACCACCATTATACAAATTTATGCACCAAACACTAAAGCCAGTGAGGATGAAATAGAAGAATTCTACCAACTTCTGCAGTGTGAAATTGATAAAACATGCAATCAAAATGTATTGATCATTACTAGTGATTGGAATGCAAAGGTTGGGAGCAAAGAGGAAGGATCAGTAGTTGGAAAATATGGCCTTGGTGATAGAAATGATACTGGAGAACGCATGACAGAATTCTGCAAAACCAATGATTTGTTCATTTCAAATACCTTCTTTAGACAGCATAAGAGATGACTACACACATGGACCTCACCAGATAGAATACATACAAATCAAATTGATTATATTTGTGGAAAGAGAAGATGGAAAAGCTCCATATCATCAGTGAAAAGAAGGCCAGGGGCAGACTGTAGAACAGACCATCAATTACTCATATGCAAATTCAAACTGAAGCTGAAGAAAATGAAAACAAGTCCAC